CAGCTTTTTTTTCTCAAACAGGGGATTCATCACTTTCTTGGCCTCCTGCTTCTTCATGACAGCAGGGGCCGGAGCCACCTTCTCCTCCTTGGCCTTCTTTCCTTTTGGCATCTTGGGCAGCAGGAGGAGAGAGACTCGTTTCAATTTTTATAAAAATTAGAGGGAACGATCCAAGATGGCCGATCGCTATCATCTCGGGATTGCAGCTCCCAGTGAAAGCTCAGACAACGAGAGGACGCCACACTTTCAGACAAATTTTGGTGGCTCACAGAGCAGAATATTCCCAGTGGAGTAGCTCCACGGGTCGCCAGCGCACTCTTGTGGCTGGCGCAGCGGTTGTGCAAGCATCTCAGTGCGGCAGCTCTCGTGCAGAGTAAACGGGACTGGTTCCCCTTCTGACCGAGGTTTGGAGGAGCCACACAGGTCACCAGCGCGACTCTTGTGGCTGGCGCAGCAGTTTCACCGGCACCTCTGCGCGGCAACTCTCGGTGCAGAGTAAATGGGACTGGTTCCCCTTCTGACTGGGGTTTGGAGCTCCGGGAAGGCAGAGTTGCCTATTATGGAGCCAAGAAGGAAGCCAGACTGGAGATTCCCGGGCAGAAAAGCACCATCAGTCTTAACGCCGCTGTTTTGGCCGGCGCAGTGGGTTGCTCATATTTTGGCCCTGGGAATTAACAACTTGGACGTCCACTCAGAGATCTAATTTGAAAGTTGGTAATTACAAAGATGACAGGTGGATAAATTTACAATGATGGGAAGAAACCAGCGTAAAAAGGCTGAGAATACTCAAAATCAGAACGCCTCTCCCTCTAAAGAAGATCACAGTTCCTCATCAACAAGGGAACAAGACTTGATCGAGAAGGAGTGCATCCCATTAACAGAATCAGGCTTCCAAAGATGGATAATAAGAAACTTCTGTGAGTTAAAAGAACATGTCGCAGCCCAATGTAAAGAAACTAAGAACTTTGAAAAAAGGTTTGAAAAAATCCTAATGAGAACAGACAACTTAAAGAGGAATATAAGTGAATTAATGGAACTGAAGAATACAATGCAGGAACTCCGAGAAGTATGCACAGGTTTAAACACTCGAATTGTTCAAGCAGAAGAAAGGATATCAGAGGTAGAAGTCCAACTTAATGAAGTAAAATGAGAAGACAAGATTAGAGAAAAAAGGATAAAAAGAAATGAGCAAAGTCTCCAAGAAATGTGGGACTATGTGAAAAGACCAAATTTACGTTTGATAGGTGTACCTGAATGCGACAGAGAGAATGAATCCAAGCTGGAAAATATTCTTCAGGAAATTATTCAGCAAAATTTTCCTAAACTAGCAAACCAGGACAATATTCAACCCCAGGTAATACAGAGAACACCATAAAGATATTCCTCAAGAAGAGCAACCCCAAGGCACATAATTGTTAGATTCACCAGGGTTGAAATGAAGGAGAAATTACTAAGGGCAGCCAGAGAGAAAGGTCAGGTCAATTACAAAGGGAAGCCTATCAGACTTAGAGCAGATCTCTCAGCAGAAACTCTACAAGCCGGAAGAGAGTGGGGGCCAATATTCAACATTAAAGAACAGAACTTTGAGCCCAGAATTTCATATCCAGCCAAACTAAGCTTCACAACTGAAGGAAAAATAAAATCTTTTATGAACAAGCAGGTACTCAGAGATTTTATTACCACCAGGCCTGCTTTACAAGAGCTTCTGAAAGAAGCATTACACATAGAAAGAAACAATCAGTATTAGCCTTTCTAAAAATATGCCAAAAAGTAAAGAGCATCAACATAAAGAAGAATTTACATCAACAAATGGATCAAACAGCCAGTTAACATCAAATGGTAGTAATTCTAAATTTAAATCGACTAAATCCCCCAATCAAAAGATACAGCCAAAACCCAACGGTATGCTACATCCAGACCAATTTCACATGGAAGGATACACAAAGACTCAAAACAAAGGGATGGAGAAAGATTTACCAACCAAATGAAGAGCAAAAATAAATGAATAAATAAAAAGCAGTTGCAATTCTCGTATCTGATAAAATAGATCTTAAAGCAACAAAGATATAGTGGTAAAAGGATCAATGTGACAAGAAGAGCTAATGATCCTAACACCCAGATACATAAGACCTATAAAGAAACTTAGACTCAACAAGACAGAAAATTAATAAGGATATCAAGGACTCGAACTCAGATCCGGAACAAGTAAACTTAATAAATATTTATAGAGCTCTCCACTTTAAATATACAAAATATACATTCTTGTCAATACCAAATCACACCTACTCATAGGTTTAAATGAAACATTGATTGGCCATTATTAATACCCACTTTTTTTAGAATAAAGCAACATTTCCCTTCTCTCTCCCTCTTTTTCTTCCTCTTTCTTCCTCTCCTTCACTCCTTTTTCTTTCCTTCTCTCAAAAAAAGAAAGAAAAAGAAAAAAAAGATCAACTTGTAGACCTCTAGATCCAGGTCGGCAATGTCTCTCTCATTGCTCGATTTCCTTCCTTCCCTTCTCTCCCTCCCTCCCTCCCTCCCTTCCTCCTTTCCTCCCTTCCTGCCTTCCTCCCTTTCTAAAAAAAAATAAAAATAAAAAATAGCTATTGCCTAACTAGAAATAATACAGTCTTGCTAATTTTCCCTATTCTTACTCATTTTCCATTTCCTAATAATTTCAATAAAATTACCATAATTAAAAAAAAATAAAGTCTCCCACTATTGTGTGGAAGTCTAAGAAGAAAAAAAAAAAAAAAGAAGACAGGCAATAGCCTGTTGTGTGAGAGTTCTGCAAACACTAAGGAGGGATATTAGTTTAAATCACAAAGTAGTGATATCATGAATGAGCTTGAGCATCTATTTATACCCTTAAAGCCTGTTTTCATTTCTTCTGTGAATTGCCTGTTGTTCATGGTTTCTTCCATTTCAATTGAGTTTACTCATTTTAAGTATGTAGTGAGTTTTCACATATGTATACACATATCCTTCTCCTTCAATTAAAATATAAAGCATTTCCATGATCCCAGAAAGTTCCCCCTTTCCCCTTTGTAAAGTCTCTCAGACCCCAGGCATTCTAGGTTGGTAGTGTTTTTCTTGAAGAATTTTAAAGATTTTATTTCCTTGTCTTTTGGGTTATATTGCCTCTAAAGAGAAATTGGCTGTCATTCTTATCAACCCTCATATAATCTTTTTTCCCCTTCTATGTGCTTTTAAGATGTATTATCTGTCCCTATCATTGGTTTTCAGCACTTTAATTATGATGTGCCTCACTTTGGATTTTTTTTTGTGTGTGTATTCTGATGGGTGTGTGCACGTGTGTGTATGCGTTTTCTCAATCTGTGGGCTTATACTTTTCACCAAATTTGGAAAATTTTTCGATATTATTTATTCAAAGATTTTTCTGCCTCCTCTTCCCCTTCTGGAATTCCATTTATACATAAGATAGAGTGGTGGATGTTGTCCCAGAGGACACTGGAAATGTTCATTTTTTCTTAAACTTTTTGTTTCTGTGCTTCACTTTGGAAAGTTTCTGTTACAGTATCTTCAGGTTCACTAATTTTCTCTTTGTTAAAGTCTGTTTTGTGGTCAAGCTCATTGAGAGAATTTTTCATTTCAGATCATGTATGTTTTAGCTCTTAAAGTCCCATTTGGTTCTTTTTTATATTTCCCATTTCTCTCTTCCATATTTTCATGTTTTTTTTTAAATCTTTGAGCATATTTACAATAGTTGTTTTAAGGTTCCTATCTGTAAATTCCATTGTCTAAAATTTCTGGAAATGTTTCTGTTGAATGATTTTAACTTTTTTTTCCATTTAGGGCTTACATTTTCTTATGTATTGACAGAATCTTGGATGTTGTGTTATATTGGGTGCCTGGATGTTGTTGTCTTCCTTTAAAGAATATTTGTTTTTGCACATAGTTACTTGTGAGTCAGTTTAGTTGTGTCCAGGTACTTTTAAAACTTTGTTAGGACAGTTCTAGAGTAAGCTTTATTTGAGAGTTTAGTTCTACATTAAGGCATACCTGTTGTAGGCTCACTAAACAATGCCCCTTGTGCTGACTGAGGTTTTCCTGGGTGGTTGGAACTCATTTTTTAGGCCTCTGGCAGTTATTTGCCTTGACTTAGGGAGTCTCATCCATGCATGCACAGGTTAGTATTTAATCAGTGTCTCAAAGGAACCCCTATTATATTGCTGTAGTTATTTCTCATCTCTGGTACCATGCCCTACAAACTGCAGCTACCTCATCCCCTCACCCTCTTTTTTTTAAATACAGAGTCTTGCTCTGTCCCCAGTGGCATGATTTCGGCTCACTGCAACCTCCATCTCCTGGGTTTAAGCGATTCTTCTGCCTCAGCCTCATAAGTAGCTGGGGCTATAGGCGTGCACCACCATCCCCAGCTAATTTCTGTATTTTTAGTAGAGACAGAGTTTCACCATGTTGGCCAGGATGGTCTCGATCTCTTGACCTTGTGATCTGCCTGCCTCAGCCTCCCAAAGTGCTGGATTATAGGTGTGAGCCACCATGCCCAGCCTCCTCCCCATTTTAACTCTGTTCTTTAAACTCAGTGAGATTCCTGTTCTCTTATTGGGTTCCTTTCTGTCTTTTGTGGATTAGAACGTGCATTGAGCAGAAAGCCAGGGCAGTCACATGGCTCTCCTCATTTGTTTACTTCTGTGTAGGGTCACAATACTGCACCTCCTCTTGTTTAATGTCTGAAACGAGTGACTTCATATATTTTGTCCAGTTTTTTAGTTGTTTGCATTGGGAGGACAAGTTGTTTGTCTATCAGTAAAGCAATTCAATCCTTGGTGGAAAAGTTTTGAGAAAGTTAACTCTAAAGGGACATTGCACGGCAGACTTTGGCTATTTTTATATTATTTTTAATTATTGAGGCTTTATTTCTGTCTGTAGTTCTTTTAATCTTTTTTATGGATTTTTCCATATGGGAATAAACTCTTGAAAGCCCTGCAAATAGTGAATTTCTTTTCTCTTTAAAGATTCTTTCTTGTGGAGAAGTTATTCAAGTGAAGATCCTCGGAATTTTGGCTCTTATTGATGAAGGTGAAACAGATTGGAAATTAATTGCTATCAATGTGAATGATCCTGAAGCCTCAAAGTTTCATGGTAAGACTGTTAGTTTCCAGAAAGTGAAAGCAAATTAGTGTGTCTTTGGAATTCTTAGAACTTAAAGGAAATACACATAAAGGAGTTAAATGTAGTTTTTAAAAAAATCTCTGCCTATGGAATATAAGGACAATTCAATGTGATTTTGTCTGAGATGGGTAATACTGCTAGGATTAGTAAGGCAGAGGAAAAGATGTAGACAGACAAATTGTATTTTAAACGAAGAAAGTGTATTCTACTGGTTTTCCTCCATTCCCTTTTCCTTCCCTCTCCTGTCACCTCTCTTTCATTCTCTTTCTCTCGCTTTCACACCTTCTTCTCTCCTTTCTTCTTTCCTTACTTCCATGATTTTGATGGCCCAACTGCTGATGGGAATTGTTTTGAAAGCATCCTTTGACTAGCGATAAGAGCATACAATACTGGCATTTTTACCTTGAAATCTCTTGTTCATATGACTAACAAGAAGAAACTAAGGAAAGAGTGTTCACTGATGACCAAAGCTGTTTCTGCACCCAGTTTTTATCTCTTCTTGTACAAATGAAGGGAAAAGTAACTGCTCTCTAACGAAATTTTGATGTCCTAGTACTTTTAAGTTCTGAAAATAGCTTAGCATGATTTAATTTTGTTTAGACAGACTCCAGTTTAAGTTCTGGCTGTGCTGCTTGCTGGCTGAGTGACTTTGGGTAGATCATTCCTGAATTTCAGTTGCTCATCTATAAAGGGAGATGATTATACCTACTTGTAAAGTTGTTGGCAATATAAGAAATGATTTATTTAAAGCATCTGGCTTTTATATATCAGTGTTGAATATATGACAACTATTATTATTCTTTGACCAATTTTTCCTCCATTTTTTCTTTTCTGTTTTATTCTTGCTCAGGACCCTTTTTCCTTATAAACCTCAATTCTAAACTGGAAAATATTATCATTTCTAAGGTGACTGAACCTCATAAACACTTAATATATTAATCTCTCTTAGTTCATATACCTTTTCTTGCACTTGAAACAGCAAGAAAGATCTTTTTTTGTGTCATTTTCACATATAATTGAGAAAGAGAGAGGTCTAATAGGGTGAAGTGCATATAACCTCAGAGTCAAAACTAAAATGTGAAAACTACAATTAAAATATGAGCCTCAAGTCTATAAACCATATATATTTCTTATCTTATTATTTTACCCTGATTTTGTCTATTTTTATACTTTTCATATACACATATATGAGAAGAGTAAATACATTTTATTCAGTTAAAAACATTTTTTAGCACCTTAACTGCTTCTCAAATGAGAATTGATAGTGTAATAGTGCCACAGGCAGCCAAAACAAATCATCCACCTAATTCATTTGTGATATGCCACACCAAAGTCATGCACCTGTGCTAAGGGATGCCCCTTTAAACTGAAAAAGCTGAGAACCTGAATGAAAATGAAACTATTATTTAGAGAAAAATAGTAACTATTGGAGATGTGATTTAACATTTTAAACTGTCCAGCATATAACAAGCACTGATGCCTGTTCCAGTAGATATTATTGTTTTTAATTTAGAAGATGCTCAGAGTGTAAGTGACTTGCCCACTATTTACATGCCAAACATGTAAATAGTACACGGTTTGAACTCACTTCTGTCTGGTTCTAAAGTGTGAATTGCTCAGTACTGTATTGAGCAATATATAGCCCATCTATAGTATTATACCAAGCAATTCATACTTGATTCTAGTAATTTACTTATCTGTAACTAGAGGTATTAAAAGTAGATCACAAGCCTAGCACCACTCCCTGAGTTTCCTAAGTGTTATAATAAAAATTTTTAACTTTGTTCATTTTATTTCTGTTGTGTACTCAGAATGGAGATGACTTTGCATTATGGACATCTTTCTAAATTCCTTTCATGTTTGCTTATATGAAGAGATATACAGAAACATCAAAGCCAATTGCAGGTTTGGGTTGAGAAGAGATTATTGGATTTGAATAGTTAAAACAAGATGTTATTGTTTTAGAAAAACAGTACATTTATCATTGTATTAAAAGTGAACACGTGTTATTTTCATTATGAAAAATATAACACTTATTCATATGTTTTTGAAATCCTAAAATTAAAAGATTAGTTGATGTTATTGACATGTTTTGCTCTGAAATGACATGCTGACTTGTGTTTTGTGCTTATTTCTAGAATGAGTATACGGGAAAAATGAAAATTGTTTATTTTAAGGATATTTGTATATTGTTCACATTAGTTAGTACTTAAAGTATTCTTCTCCTATATCTAGATTTTATAAAATAAGTTTGGTAGTTTTTTGTTGTTGTTGTTGTTGTTGTTGTTTGAGACAGAGTATCTCTCTGTCTTGCAGGCTGGAGTGCAGTGGCATGATCTTCGCTCACTGCAACTGCTTCCTCCTGGTGATTGTTGTGCCTCAGCCTCCTGACTAGGTGGGAGTACAGGCATGTGCCACCATGCCTGGCTAATTTTTTGTATTTTAGAAGAGTTGGGGTTTCACTGTGTTGACCAAACTGGTCTAGGACTCTTGGTTTCAAGGACTCTACCTACCTCAGCCCCGCAAAGTCCTGGGATTACAGGTGTGAGCCTATGCCCAGCAAGTTTGGTAGTTTTAAGAATTAGACATTGTTTTCTCATTCCTTTTACTTTCACATTATTGTTAATATAGTCTGCATATCTTTATTGACTTTTCTTCCTTCTTCTCTCTTACTTTACAGAGTCTGAGGAAAAAAATTGACGTAGGCACAAATTGAAAGGAAGAAGAGATTGTAGTATAAATGCTTTTTATTTTTGAAAAATTATCTTTAGTCTACATTATTTAATCCTAAATCAAGCAACTTTTAAAATGTTTTGGTATTTGTCTCTTTCATATTTACCATCTAAGATCACAAACACAGGATTTTAATGGCTTTTTTAAATTAAAAGTTAATTTTATACCTAGAAATAAAAACTCAGAAGTACAAAAAAATGGTATATAAAATGAAAAGTAAAGTTCTGCTTTCTAGCTCCCACCTCATCTTCTCATATCTTATCTCAGATGTTTTTTATTCTTTTAAATGGTTTCTGTAAATGATATGCTTATATTTCTTAATGTATGTATTTTCCCTGTTGACTGAAATTATTACTTTGAAAGACAAGGAATGTAAATTCTTAAATTCTTACCATATTTCTTCTGTTACCCTAATAACTCTAAGTATTATACTTTGAGCTGGATTCATTGCCTCATTGACTTTGACCAATAACTCTTAACGGCCTAGTCTAGAACTTAGTATTTGGTTTCTATATTTTTATCCTTTTCTGTCCTTTATAACCTAGCTTCTCTCAATTATACCATCAATTCTACAGTGTCAAAATTGATAATGTCTAAATTATGTTAAGTATCATTGTTTTTCATATTTTGACTCACAGTCAAATTTGAAAATTAAAAACTATGTAGCATTTATAGAATTATCATGTAAATATTACTCAGCTAGTTTATTATACTGTTTATTAAATGATCATCTTTGGACACACTGTTTTCTGAGCCTCCTGCTTAGCTATCATCTGCAGATTTCTTTTCAATGCTTGATTAGTTCTGCTTTCTTAAATTCTACCATTCCCTTTTTTTAGTTTTCTTTTTTCATTGTTGGCTGGTGTCCATTTTTGAAAAATACCAAATGCAGTAACTTGAAATATAAATTACTGTGTATAAATTGGAATTTCTATTACAAAGGAATAAGTGATTGTATGACCATCTAAACATTTGTCATCTATACTTCTTGGCATATTTGTTAGATAAATGAGAAAAATTAAAAACATTTAGGAGAGGGCAGCTAGCTGGAATTTTTTTTTAATTCTGTAGTTTTCTAGGTATATGTGTAATATAGGATGACATAGAGATTTTTTTTTTATTTCCTGTACTTTTTTATTGTTATTAGGCATTTAAAAAGTAAATCCGTGGCTGGCATGGTGGCTCAAACCTATAATCCCAGCACTTTGGGAAGCTGAGACAGGAGGGTCACTTGAGTCCAAGAGCGAGAGACCAGGCTGGGCAACATAGTGAGACCTAATTTCTATAAAAATAAATAAATATAAAATTAAATCCATTCTATTAGTTTTTACTATCTTTAGACAAAGAGGCTGATGGGGGTGGATCACCTGACGTTGGAAGTTCAAGACCAGCGTGATCAACATGGAGAAACCCCATCTCTACTAAAAATACAAAATTAGCCAGGTGTGGTAGTACATGCCTGCAATCGCAGCTAACTGGGAGGCTGAGGCAGGAGAATCACTTGAACCTGGGAGGTGGAGGTTGCAGTGAGCCTCAGATCATGCCATTATACTCCAGCCTAGGCAACAAAAGCAAAACTCCATCTCAAAAAAAAAAAAAAAAAAAAGAAAAGAAAAGAAAAAAAGCTGTTCTTTGCCATGCCTTGTCAAATTTTTTCTTTTTTGAAAATGAAACTTGTTTTAGTTCATAGTATGTCCTTATGTATGTGTATTTTCTTTTTACTCTATTCATACAGCCATATTTAAGCTGTGATTCTTCAAAGAAGTTTTGGCATTGTTTTACTTGTGAACAAATAACTTATTTTTTGTGAAATAAATAAAATGAAATAACTTTTGATCCTAATCAACATATGTGCAGACCTTGGTAGGCTATAATTTCCTGTTTTGATATTTACAGTTTTTACCTATAATGACTGAACTTAAACTAGCCATTGCATCAGAGAACATTTTTCAATTAGTAAAAAACTTTTTTCTTGCTATATTTCTGTAACTTTAACATTACTATTTAAGTCTTCTAGTTATACCTTCTAAAAATGGAATAGCAACTGTAAAAATCTAAAAAATGTCCAAATAACATTTGAAATGAAATTCCTTGTACTCCCTGATAGAAAATTGGTCACTTCAGCAGGCTCATTAACAGAGCACTAAGACCATTTTATCCCCTGTAATTAGGTTTCAGGCCCTAATGCTCTTATTGGTACCCTAATGGCCTAAAAGAGTTAATAAGACTCCCAGGAC